ATTGTAAAGAACAAAACACGGACTCCTGTAGATCTACCACTGGGACGAAAAGCAATCGGGCTAAAATGGGTCTACAAGGTGAAAAAGGATCCGAGTGGAAAGGTATTGAAGCATAAATCTCGTTTAGTGGCGAAGGGATATGTCCGAAAGAAGGCGTAGACTTCGATGAGGTATTTGCTCCGGTGGCTCGAATGGAAACTATCTGTATTTTACTTGCACTTTCAGGTAATAACGGATGGGTTGTGCACCACCTCGATGTCAAATCTGCATTCCTAAATGGTGAGCTGGAACAGGAAGTTTATGTGACACAACCGGAGGGCTTTGTGAATCATGATCAACCAAACAAGGTGTACAAGTTAACCAAGGCGTTATACGGACTTCGACAAGCACCAAGAGCTTGGAATTCAAGACTCGATAAGTATCTCAAGAAAATTGGGTTCAAAAGATGCTTGCAAGAGTATGCTCTATATACAAGGAACACAAAGGGAAAAACACTGATTGTGGGTGTGTATGTAGACGACCTCATAGTTACATGTGACTGTAACAATGAGATAACACACTTCAAAGAACAGATGAATAGGGAATTTGAGATGAGCGATCTGGGAAAACTCTCATATTATCTTGGAATTGAAGTCCATCAGCATGAAGGAACAATCACCCTGAAGCAAACATCATATGCCAAGAAAATACTATCTAAGACTGGAATGGAGGAGTGCAATCCTTGTAAGTACAGAATGGAACCTAAATTGGAACTAACCAAGGATGAGGATGGAGTACAGGTTAATGCCACGGAGTATAGGAGTGTGGTTGGTGCACTGCGATACCTGACCCATACCCGACCCGACATCAGTTATGCTGTTGGGTTGGTAGGTAGATTCATGGAGAGACCCATAGTTCAACATATGAAAGTAGTGAAACACATCTTGAGGTATGTGAAAGGGACCACAGACTATGGTCTGGTCTATGGCAAGGGTAATAGAGAAAGTGTTGTCACCGGATACACCGATAGCGACTTAGCAAGAGATGTGAATGATAGAAGAAGCACGAGTGGAATGGTATTTTATATGAATGAGAATTTGGTCGCATGGGGATCATTAAAGCAGCGTTGTGTAGCCCTTTCATCCTGTGAAGCAGAATTCATGGCAGCCACCTCAGCAACATGCCAAGCAATTTGGATCAGACGACTCCTAAGTGAAGTAACTAACTCCAAGATCAAGGCACCTGTGTTGTACATTGACAACAAGTCTGCTTTGGACTTGGCAAAAAATCATGTATTCCACGGGAGAAGCAAACATATTGATACGAGATACCATTTCATTCGTGAACGTGTGGAGGAAAATGACATTGTTGTCCAGCATGTGTGCAGCAAGAAACAGAGAGCCGACATCTTTACTATGTCAATGGGGAAGACTCAATTTTTGGAGATGAGAGATCTGCTGGGAGTACAAAAGGTAACTAGTTGAAGTTCAAAGCAATGGCATGACCTGAACACTTTGGATTAAGGGAGACTATGTTGGATTTAATCCAAATGTGTTCAAAAGACGCAGACTCTCTTCAGGGGCATTTTAGTCAATTTTTATGTTTGAATAAGTAAAAGGCCATGTAGGCCATCAATTCCGTTTTTTTAGTAGAAGTAGATCATGGATAGTTTGTTGCTATCTTTTAGGGATTTCTTTGCTTTATGTAGTTCGTTCTTTTCATTTTGAGTTTCGAGCACCTGAAAATAAAACGAGAAAATTGTCCCAAAAGCTTCCCCTGTTCTTCCTCTTGTGTACTCTGTTGTTTTCTGTTTTGCTGCAGGGGTTGATTCCATCATAATCTGGGGGTGTGTCCCGGTGCCAAAGTTAGGGGCTGTTAGGGTGGTACACCACTAACTAAGTACCCCGACATACTATTAGAGCCAATTGCAAGAATATGTGTCGAACTTGAATATGGAATCCGACTTGGGCCTTTTTTATGGCTAGGGCGCATGTATAATTTGTAATTTGTATATCCCCTTCAAGCGCATCTGGCGATTCTGCAAAGGGGTATGCTCCTCTACGACGCTCTTGGTTATGATGAGATGATGTGGGGTATGTTTCTAACACATATAAAAGAGGTTTTCTCAGCCTGTTAACTGGTGTTATTGATTTTCCTTTTACACCGCTTTTTCTTGTGAGTTCTGTATTCTATTTCTTGCGTAGTTGCGTTGCTGGTAATGGCGGAGGATCAAGGAATTGTCGTTATTTTGTCGGTGATTTTTGTCAATCAAGTTGAAACAACGACGTTGGATTGCCATTTTGGGTTGAATTTCAGTGGTGCGCTGCCTACACCAAGTGTTCCGATTAACATGCTCAGAGGTAATCATGGAGAGCATTGGGGAAATATGTCAATAAAAATTTAGCGTCAGATAATTCATGTTGGTGACATTTTCATCTTAGCCAAACTCCATATGATATACTATGCTTACTGGACACGCATACTTAAACGTCCTCCAACACCGAGTAACTCTCTTGAAAATTGTATGCTGCAAAGAAGCTAATATCCCCAATGTTTTGTATAACTCTAAGAAGAGAAATCAAGAAATCAAGAATATTATATATACTCAGTAGCTATGTGTTTTGTGTTACCTGGGATAAACCAAAAACATGACAAATCCTGTAATTGAATTAAGGTTTTTCCGAATGGGTATGAAAAAAGGTTTATACTTGCTCATAAAACACAGCAACGGATCCGGTTTTTAAACGGTATTTTTTAACCCTACAACATTCGGGAAAACTTTGTCAAATGTGAGGATTCTCATCGTTGACTATCAGCAATTCTCCTTGTCCATTTTCATAGCTTGCAGCTTTCTCCTTCATGTCCCATTCCCCCGCCCACAGCCATCCTTCTTCCTTCCCCTGTAAGAAATTGATACTAAATCACTTAAATCCATTAAAATCGAGGAAAATGTATCAATTTAAACATATTGGTGATTCTTCATCAGTGTGAATCATTTCCTTGGTAGAAGCTGAGCGGGTTAAGTGCTGATCATGGTTTAAATGGATATCAATTAAAAGGTCTGTATTGTTTGTTTTCTTTTACTATCGACTCTCATATCTCCATTTAGGTTCATTTGGATATGCTTGATCTAAAAAAAGAAATTGATATTTTTTTTTGAGTTTGATGCCACATTAGTTGTATGTTTTGTTCCTTGTGCAGTGTTGTGATTTCATAGAGTTTTAGAATTTTTTTTAAAGGAAATAAATACCGTAACGGTCTCAATATTTGTGAATTCTGATCTCTAACCACAAAATTGTACACACATAATACAATATATTTTGTAGCATAGGGTTCAGGGGCGGAGCCAAGATTTTATAATAAGGGGGGCATACATCGTAATAAGATCGAAAACCTTTCTCCATGATCACGAATTATATATTCAAATTTTACCTCTTAAATTTAACATATCATATTTTTTAGGTTGACATTAATTGGTTCTTCAACATTACTCTTCTTTTAGGTTGTAGGCGTATATCATCTTTCCTATTATTATCACTAACAAGATGCTATGTGGATAATAAAAGTTATCTTTTTGTTTGGAAAAAAAAAAAACTAATGGCTCTTTAGTTGCTTCTGATTTATCTTTTTAATTATACAAGACCAAATTACTCCTAATAAAATTATTATTAATTTATAGATTACAAAAAGTTAAAACTAGCTTCTTCTATGTCATTGATAAATAAACTTAGGAATTTTGCATAAACCAAAAACATAAAAATTGGAGTTGTTGTTAAATGGCCACCGCCTACGACTTTTAAAAGTTTAAATGGTATCGTAATTAAAAGAAATTGAAAAGCGTGGGGTTTTAAACTTTCAATGCCTTATCCTTTATACGACTCATCAGTTTTGGAGGAAATCGGCTTATAATTAGGCCGAACTAAGTTTATTTAACATTAAAGGAGATGGGATTGGGGGGGGGGGGGGGGGGGGGGGGGGCCGAGACATCCGGCAGCCCCGGTACTGTCTCCGCCCATGATAGGGTTACTTTGACTCTTGATGTACCTTTATCTAGTTCCCTTGTTTGGTAAGTAGTTTGTACAAAAATAGAGGCTTCAACCTCTTAATCAAAGAGAATATATTATTCCCAGAAATCAGATTAGTCACATGGTATCAGAGTCATGTTGGAGCGAAGAATTAATTGCAAAACGGCGGGAATTTGAGCGACGATTGAGAAAACCGATTCTAATTTCTATATCTCTACTCTTCTTTCCCTCTCAATGTCACTGTTTGATTTCTGTACCAATTACATAGGTGAAATAAGATCGAGTTAACATTACATCCATATATGTTGGCTGCCTAACCTTTGCAATATGTGACTTTTTTGTGATACATAAAAATGATAAAATCATTTAGCATTACATCCATATATGTTATGCCATATCATATTGAAATGAAATGAAAGGGGGATGAGACATAAAACCAGTAAGAAATTGAAATCAATGTTATATCCATGTTATACCAAACTCATCCACATAATCTCTTAATTATAGTTCTAGTCATATTTCAAACCAAAGTGAAATGCGTACCAATAATTGAAATCGTGTATGTTTTGTTTGAAGGATTTAGTTCGTTATAATACCAAGTGTAAAGGTTAATTGGAACTCAACAGCTCAAATGCATGCTAGGATCGGAGACATGGAGAGGGGAGCCAAAAAGGTTCCAGGCTGTACGTTTAAATTGCTTTAATATTTGAATTTTTTTCTTAATATTTAAAATTTGCCATCTTTGTAAAGACACCTCTCATCTTATCATACCAAGTGTCTCACAAAATTTCCCAATGGGCAAACCGATATAAGTATAACAACATACTTAACATAATTTCTTATTTTGGGGATTTGTGTATGGCCTTGTCCTTGGTTTCAGTAGTGACTTTTAGAAGTACAGCAATCTCAGCCCATTGACTTATCTGTTTATCTATTACAAACAAATCTAAAGTTTCTTAACAAAAAGGCATTCAAATGAATACATATATATATTGACATGATGCATATAGAGAACTTGAGAAAAGTAAAGAACATTGAAAGTACACTATATCGATTGGACAACAAATGTCATTTCAAAGCAGATCCTTCATCAACAGATTTGAAACTTGGCGCATTGTTGGTCTTCCGTTCGGATTGGAGTTCAAACATGCTCTTGAGAGACTCAGCACCAACTTAACTTGTTTCTCAGCTTGTGGTGAGGGAAGTGGAATCCGACTGTCTCCCACATTTTCCAACACTAGATAATCAGCAGACAATGTTGGTAGTTCACCGGGATGTTTTCCCATGATAACTTCAAGTGCAACAATGCCAAAGCTATACACATCACATTTCTCGGTTGCAACCATCGTATAAGCAAGCTCTATATCCAAAGTAACATAAAATAAAAACAAAAAAGATTATATTAACCCCACAAGATTCTAACATAAATACATATATGCACATATACAAATTTATATATTACGAAACTAAAGAAGATGTAGAGCTACAATCACAAGATTATGTTACCTGGCGCGATATAACCATAGGTGCCTGCAATAGCGGTCCAGTTTGATGAGTCTAGCTTTAAAAGCTTGGACGTCCCAAAATCAGAAATATGTGCCTCATAATCAGAATCAAGAAGGATGTTGCCAATGGAAATGTCTCTATGAATTAAAGGAGGTGAGCAGTCGTGATGCATATAAGCCAAACCATTAGCTATAGCCCTTACAATATTGACCCTTTTCAACCAATCCAATTCTTTTGCTAAGACATCGCTTCTTAAGATTGATCCAATGCACCCTTTTTCAAGGTATTCATAAATCAAAAATGAGTGGCGGGTATGTGAGCAATATCCATAGAGTTTCACTATGTTCCGATGCCTTATGTTTGTTAATGCTCGTATCTCATTAAGGAAACCATTATGATCAACATTCTGAGATGATGATGAGTGAAGTTTCTTGACAGCTACCACATTGTTAGGTTGTATCTCGGCTTTGTACACAGTCCCATATCCTCCGGTCCCAATGGAGTATGCTTCATCAAAATTATTTGTTGCTTTCAAGATGTCATCATGTGCTACTCCTCCATCAAAACTTGTTATGAAGAAATAATCACCACTTTTTTTGTCCAATGGTTTCTGGGAAGAATGACTCTTTCGTTTTCGATAAGCAATGAGGCCACAAATGAAAAAACCAAGTAAAATTGCCCCGATAAGAGGGAGCATAATTACAAGGACGAGTTGATGATGAAAGGGATCATTTTTCTTCTTCGAGATTTGACTTGCACAAAATTTTAGTCCTGTAAAATTTCCACACAAATGTGGATTGCCTTCTATAGACACATTCACAAAGTTAGTGTTAGTGGGAACTGGACCTGAGAGCTCATTGTAAGACAAGTCAATATCAGTCCCACGAGGCAAACTTTTAATAGCATCAGGAATAGAACCAGATAATCTATTGTGAGAAAGATTCAATTTTTGCAAACTTTGCAAACTTTGAACTTCAGATGGTATCTCTTCCTTGAGCAAATTCTGAGATAAATCTAGTTCCGTAAGCTGAACTAATTTACCAATCTCAGATGGAATTTTTTCACTGAGCATGTTGTTACTAAGATTTAAGTTGTAGATATAAGTCCAATTATCAATACTTTTTGGTATCGAACCATTTAATCTATTTGAGGACAAATCGATAGCAAGGAGATCATGCAGTGATCCAAGCTCTGGAGGTATAATACCTGAAAGTTGGTTATCAGCCAAAGACATATACAACATACTTGTCATCTTCCCCAACTCTTTTGGGATCTCACCAATAAAATGATTTGAAGAAAGATTAAGCTTTCGTAGTTGAGTTGCACTTCCAAACTCTAGAGGTATGCAACCACTGATGCTGTTGTATCCCATATTTAAGACTGTCAAATTCTTGCATTTACTCCAGTTTTTAGAAAGCTCCCCATGAAAATGATTGTAACTGATATCAAGGTAAGCTAAGTTTGGATAGAACCCAAAACTATTTGATATATTTCCACTGAATTGATTACGATCAAAACGAACTCTTATTAAGCTAGGACAATTCAATAAGCCTCTTGGAATAGGACCGGTGAGTTGATTACCCGATACTGTCAATTTTTGAAGCATCCCCCCATGGCACAGATCTTTGGGCAATTTCCCAGACAACTGATTGTCATCCAACTCTAGCTTAATCAAGTCTAGGCTTCCAAGTCCTTGTGGAATTGAACCTGAAAAAGTATTAGCACCGAGGAACAGACGTTGTAGGTTGCTGAGGTTTGCTAGTGATGAAGGAATAGAACCGCTAAGTTGATTTAGGCTCAACGCGAGCTCAGTGAGAGACTTTAAATTTCCAAGTTCATTTGGAATGTGACCATAGAGTTGATTGTAGAACAAAAAAAGGGTATTCAAAGATGTCAAATTACCCAATGTTGAAGGAATTAAGCCAGATAGATTGTTTACAGAGATGCTTAGGAACTTAAGTGACACCATGTTTCCTATTTCTTTCGGAACGGAACCAGTTAGATTGTTTTTGTCTAAGTCCAGGTCGGTTAGCTGGCGGAGGGTTCCTATTTCACGTGGGATTACTCCAGAAAACGTATTGAATGAAATATTAAGATAAACAAGTTTGGACAGGAGTTGGATTTCTAGTGGAATGGGGCCAAAGAAGTTATTTACACTGAGATCTAAATGTGTAAGATTGTGTAGCAATGAGAATGAAAATCGATGAAGTGTACCCTTTAAGCCAGATCTCGAGAGGTTCAACCTGTGAATGCTCCCTTCAGCATTGCAAACTACTCCAAACCAAGAGGTACATTGAACTGATGCACCAGAGTTCATAGGGAGGGGAAGCCATGAAGAGAGAAAGGAGTTGTTTGGGATTTGAAGGCTTGCTTTCCATTTAAGAAGAGAATTGGCTTCCTCCAAAGAAGCAGAAGCGAGATTGGGTACGGGGGAGAGAATGATGATTAGAGCTAGAGAGAAAAATAAGAAGTTTGAAGAAGATATTATTTGCTTTTCCATTTTGTTTTTTGAAAAGTGATGGTTTGTGCCACCCTAATTTATACTTGACCATTTTTTTTTGTTTTTTTATTCTCCCTATTTTTACAAGGAAAGTTGATTAAAACTGAAATTGTGTAAAGTTGGTTTTCAAATCAAACAGGTTTCAGTTATTATTAGCTCAACGGAAACATAATATAACTTCACAATATAAAAACTTACGACTAATTAAGTTATTTACTTAGCATCTGTTCGACAAAAATTTTAATCATTTGATGGCTAAAGTTGTTATGCAAAGAATAGATGGAACGTTGACAAAGCAAAATAGGGTCTTGTCTACTTCGGAATTTAATGGTATATCTAATTAATTCTTGTAGAATAGAAAAATGCCATCGAAGCCACCCTAGCCTGTAATGTGGATCTGTAAGTTGTCGGATTTGTTTGACAAATTGCAAATTGGGTCCACACCATTAATTTTCAGTGACCATTGATTTGTAACCATAATTATTATTTCACAATTCAAATTATTAAAGCACACTCATTTAAAAGTCTATTTAAGTTTGAAAAACAAATCAACAACCATTTATTTAGTATTATCTATACGGATAGGAATATTTATTGTTTTTTTTCTAAGGACACATATTCAGACACGAGTACAGAACAGACACAGTCAAAGAACAAGTGTTATATTTTAGTTTTTCTTTAGTCATCAAAATACAGATACAGACAGGTAAACAACACATATATAAAACAACTATTATTGTTAATTACTAAGTAATAAGTTATGTAAAAGAGTTTTGGTAATTAATCTATCAAGTTACCAATATACTAAAGCCCGACTTAGGTATTGCAATTTAAGTCGATGTTGTAAGTTTCTATTTATATCACCTTCTATGGGCCATAGTACAACAGGGCTGAATATACATACAAAGGCCAATACAGAATACATAATAATACACATGCTAATATGCCCCTGCAGTTTGAGGAGGGGGAGGTTCTCGAATGCTCAAACTAGGACGAAACTCAGAAAAAAGAGGAATCGGCAAGCCTTTGGTGAAAATATCAGAATGATACCAGGAAGGAACATGATACTGATACTGGGAAGAAACATGCAACACTTTAATGTGACCGATTGCGACTATCTAGAACAAAGTGAATATCAAGCTTAATGTGTTTGGTTCGTTGGTGCTGAACCGGGCTTGCAAACATATAAATGACGTTGATATTGCCGCAGCAGACAAGGGTAGCAGAGCAGAGAGGATGGTGAAGTTCCCGAAGGATATTACGCAACCAAGCTATTTCCGCAACAGCATTGGCAAGACCCCAGTATTTTGCTTCCGCACTTGAATGCGAAATTGTGTGTTGTCTCTTAGATGACCGGGATACCATATTATCACCAAGAGAAAAACAGTATCCAGAGGTAGATCGACAGGTGGTGAGATATCCTCCTCAATCAACATTAGAGCAGGTTGTAACAAATGTAAAAGAAAAAAAGTTGAGCTGAAGCCTGTTGTCTATAGTCTTGCGTATGTATTCCAGTACGCGTTTGAGAGCTTGGAAGTGAGGCTCTCTAGGTTCGTGCGTATATAGACATATTTGTTGAATAGCAAAAGAGATATCCGATCTAGTAAACGGGAGATATTGGAGTGCCCCCGTATGACTACGATATAAGGATGGATCCAAAACTCTAGAGCTGGTAGCAAACAGTTTGGTGGACATATCAACCGAAGTATGATTTGGATTACATGTAACATCTTGGCACGTTGAAGCATTTCAGTAGCATACTTCTTTTGAGACAGAAACATGCCTTGTGAGGAGTGTGTGACTGAGATACCCAAAAAGTAATTTAATGGCCCAAGATCCATCATGGCAAACTCAAGACCGAGTTTGGTGAAGATGCACCGAAGAAGGCTCGGTGATGATGCAGTAAGAATGATGTCATCAAAGTATAGCAAAAGGTAAGTTGTATCGAGACCGTTCTTCAAAACAAGTAGAGAGGAGTTGGTCTTGTTGTGTTGAAACGTAAGAGTGGTTGCATGACTGGCGAAGCGTTGGAACCAGATGTGCATGAATAATACCGTATAAACATTTATGAAGATGACGTACATGGTGAGGCATGTTGGGATCGGCAAAGCCATAAGGATGGTACATGTAAAATGTCTCATTAAGGTGAATATGTAGAAAAGCATTTTTGATATAAAGCTGATGCACATGCCACTTACGAGAGAGGGAAAGATTGAGAACTATACGAATTGTAGTAACGAGGCTAAATGTGTTTGCACATTCGATGTCGGGTTGTTGACTCTTTCCATTCCAATGAGATATGTTTTAGACCTGTTACGAGAACCATCAACATTAATGTAACATCCCAAAAATCCAATGAAAAATTTTCATTTTATTTAAAACAATAGTCTATACAAAAATGTGTTCCCAAACGATTGAAGTGAAAAATAGTATTTAAACATCAAAGTAAAAATTATCAATGCGGAATAAACTCTGGGGGATGTTGTGCAGTCACGTCGGGCCCTTCCCTTTCGAACGAGAGGTACCTGAAACCATAACCATAAAACTATAAGCACAAAGCCTAGTGAATTCCCTAAAATACCAAATACCATACATATCCTTGGGCCTATCCTTCATATTGGGCCCAACCCATAATAATGGACCTATCCCTCCCAATTCAATAGGCCCAACCCAACATACAAATGGGCCTAACCCGTCTTACCATGGGCCTAGCTCAACATACAATGTGAGAGTCACAAAGACAGCTACCATATAACATATCCTAATGGTCTGGCATGGGTACCTTCAACCTATGGGTACAGTGAGGAGGCTCACCTCAATCTAGAGATAACCGAATCACACACGCTGCTGCTACCGGGCTTCTCACACTAAACACATCCAAATTATCCTTAATTAATAATTAAGATAATTTCCCATAATCCAAGGTCTGATTCATATTCTATCATACCAATGGGTAAAAGACTAATTTACCCTTCCTATACTTGGCCCAACAAAGCAACACCCAAACCCAATATGACTCAAGGCTCAAAAATGGCCCAAGAGCCATTGAGGTGTGTACGCCCCGCGTACCAACTTGTTACGCCCAACGTACGACGCTGAATCCCAAAATCAACTCTAAACCTCTTAATACCTTAAGATAACATGTATAACTTCCAAATCTGATTCATATGGGACGTCCTAAGTCATAAAGTTCCTAACTTTATGTCTTTTCATGGCTTAATGGTGTGGTGGCTGAAGGTAAGGAGGGTTGGAAATGAGTTAAGGCCTTTAAATAAGGTCTAAGACCCAAAATTTGGATTTGAGTCTAGGCCGCGTACTCCCAGCCTACTCCTGGTACGCCCAACGTACTAGGTTGTCCTCCGCGATAAATCCTGCCTAGTACGCCTAACGTACTCGGGTGTAACGCCCACGTTTCTGGCTAAGCATTAGTATGATGATGTAATAGGTAGGGTCAACAATTGTAACCTATTTTGAAGTAATAAAGAGGAATTATTTGAGTATTATGTTATTTATGTGATTTATGTGCATTATACTTGCTTATGACGATGTAATAAAATAATAATAAAAATATGTATCAAAAATAAAATAATAGATAGACCCAATATCTATGAATAAAGTTGAAGTGATCATAACAAGGATTTCGGGGATATAAGGAACGCTGAAATCCGACTTATAACAAAGAAGTTATGACCTGTCAAAGTTTCGAGACAAAACTGACACGACGCTGTGTGACGTAAAAAGTGAGTTTACGATAAAATACTTTTTAGCCTTATCTACGTAAACGAAAGTCGTAGTATACGTTAAACCGAGAGCGTACATATAGAGAACGCTCAAATCTGACTTCGTTAGAGGAAGTTATGATTTTTCTAAGATTTGGCATAGTAGTATGCAGCCCGGAAATCGAATTTTAGATCGATCAATTTTTAGCCGATACAATCAAAACGAGAATTGAAGATCTCGTTAATAGGAGCTCAACGATATAAAGACAGACGAAAACGGACGTCGGATGACAAAGTTATGAAATTTTAACGGACTTTATCTATCTAAGCCTGTTAAAATATAAATTTAAAAATAAATTCAAAATTAGCCGTCGGAGTCTAAATGAAAGTTGAAGATTATGTCACCACCTACGCGTGGATATAAAGAACATCAAAAATGGAGCTCATATGTGAAACTTAAGGAATTTAGAAGTTTATTAAATTATGGAAGGATGTGAGGGTGACACGTGGTCGAATCAGGGCTGTTCCTTTCTTTCCATGGCTTTGCTTCGGAGTCCGACACATGTCCCTCGTACGCGCAGCGTAGTGCCTTGGACATGCAGCGTACTCCGAAGTTACGCCCAACGTAACCCAAGATCTCAGCCTATAAATAGATGCGAGGAGCACCCCATTTCTTCACACTTTTCCCATTCTTTCTCTCTCAAACATTCCTCTAAACCACTCCAAATCCCTATTACTTCCCAAGTGCTAGAGCCGAGTCCCGGAGTGCTAGAGGGCTCTGAGAAGAAGAGCATTTGGCTTAGAAGTTCTGCCCCCGCAAAGCCCGACTCCCAGCCAAACCCCCTTGTAAGTGAGTTATGCTTACCCTACTCTAAGTATAACTTATGTTTAAGTTTATTATCGTTATTATGTACCTATAAACAATACATGATCTAAGAATTTTGAATTAGACAATGTGTTATAATACGTTTTAACTGCTCACGGTACCGGGAATCCGGTTTGAAAGGCCGCCTGGGTTGTTGGATTTCAAAACAGCTTAAATGCCAAAATGGTCCTGCCCTCCGGTGTTTCATGTCTGGCTCCTGTCTGTACATAGTAGTTGAAAAGTATTATTTAACGCTTATATAATACAAGAAAAACAATATTTCTCGATTAATAATTAGACGCAATAAATATTAGACTACAATCTAGTAATAATGATACTAGGTTTCGTCAAAGGGAAATAAAATTGTTAGAAGCGAAGCGTTGCCCGAGTTTGAAGCCATCACTTTAACAAGTGAG